CTAATTTCTTCAGAAAAAGAAATCTATGACTGACAACAAGATTCTTGATCCAAGAGATAATGAATTCGTAAGTTCAGTGATCGAAGTAAACGAATTGTCAGGCCAAGAGTTTAATATAGAAGTTATCGCTGCAAGTTCATCAGTATCGAGTCATACATTTATGACTGAATACGTGAAAAATACAGTTTGAATGAATTTGTAATACAAAGAACATTCAGGCTCGTTTTACCTTCCGTTCAACGTAAAACATTGAAAGTCGTAGCGTTCCCTATCTACAATATCTTTGCTCTTTATCAGTTCTGAGATCTGAACTTCACTGAACTACTTGATAACGTTAGAACGTTAACACGTACAACAAGTAGACGAAGTTCAAGCAAATCAACTTTCCACGGTGGAACTTTTTAATCAGGCCAATCTCTCGTAGATAATTCGTCAGCGTTTGCTCCGCTCGTCGAAAGGTTTCATTTCAATTTGCTCCTCCTGCACGTTACCGGATTCTCTCACTGTTCTTTGTAACTTCGTTTCGCGTTAATCAGCCGTGTAACCTTCCCTACGCTACGAATTTCTTTTTTTTTTTACGCATAAAAAATGTCCATAGAGAATCGCTCGCTGCGAATGTATTCGCATTCACGATTTCCGCGAGCGATTCGCCACGTGACCAAGCGCAGTATGTTAGCACACGGCAGGACACGACGTTAAATCAGGTTTCGCATAATTTTCCGCACCGCATAATGATATGTTTTCTTACGTCACGGCGGCACAACTCACTTGTCGTTAGTACAACACACTTATCACCCACTCTCGAGCCTTATGATCGCGTGGAATTTCCTTCGGCGACCAGTGATTGACTCGGTAGAAAAAAAGTGTTTCATGGAAACGAAGGGTTCTTTATGAAAAAGAGTTCTTTTACTCTACGTAAAAGAAGAAGTTGAGTTACCTTTTGAGAGGTACACTATTTCTTTAAACGTTGTCCCTTATTTTTTTAATTCAGTGAATTCGTTAGTACTAAATCGACAGCGGCAAAAGCCAAATACGTTGAGAAAAATAATACAATTTCATACAAAATGGTACAATTAAATTTAATTTTTCAGAATAATACGATTATTATGCGTATAATAATTGTGATTGTTGAATTATCTTTTGAGACACTGTATTTCTTTCAACGTTGTCCCTCACTTTTCCAATTTAATTAATTCATTAATACTAAACGGTGAAAGCTAAATATGTTGAAAAAAATAGTACAATTGAACGTTTCTAAAACAAATGGTACAATTAAATTTAATTTTTCAAAATAATACGATTATTATATTATTATACATCGTTGAGTTATCTTTTGAGATACTATATTCCTTTAAACATTGTCCCTCATTTTTCCAATTTAATTAATTCATTAATACTAAACGGTGAAAGCTGAATGAATATGTTGAAAAAATAGTACAGTTGAACGTTTCATACAAAATACGGTACGATTAAATTTAATTTTTCAAAATAATACGATTATCATACACGTAATACAATTATATATAATTGTAATAATAAACGGATAAGAACTTTAGAATTCTTTCGTGAAAAATGAGAAATATCTTCGTGTTTTTCTGACAAATTAATGGAGAAACAGCGATGCAATAGCTTCCTTCTTTTGTATCGCTTGGATTCTTCGATGTCAGTCAAAGTTAAAGGTGTTCGTGGAAAAGCAGTAATTTTAAAGAAACTTGCTGAAGGAGAAAGTTCGCGCCCGATTCCTCAGGGTCTCGCGAGCGGAGCCAGCTCGCACGCACATTCTCGCAAGGGTAGCTCGCTCGGAGTCAAAGTGAAACGCGATTAAAAACTTCGCGAACGTGCCATTGAAACATTCGTCACGGGTTCGCGCCCTTTGTGTTCCCCTTGCACGTTCACCATTCTGAAAAATCCCACGCACTCGTTTATCTATCCCCGGTGATTGCGATTCTTCATAACAGATCCGTCTTCTTTCGTGCAAATGAATCCATGTGTGTGTAACGTCGTTCACAACGTACAGGTTACAGTCGTTAAAGTCACGACTGTGATCGACCAACCATGCTCTAGAGTAACGTTCTGAAGGAGACAAAGACAGGACCAAGCTCGAGAATCAATGTCGTTTCACGCAAGTTCTCCAAGAAAATTTCATGGAACCGGAGGAATCGATACTCGCCGAATGTGAAGAAGATTGTTTCATTGTCAATGAAGTCTGACTAGAGTTATATATCTGGCGTTCATCGACGCGTTCCTTCGTCGTCGAACTAACGCAATAAAAGCTAGAGAAGATAAAGTAAGAAAGAAGAAATTGAAGAATAGAAAGCTAAACAATCGAGTCACGAGAGCTCGAAGGTGGAGGAGGAAAAATCGTGCCAGTGGGAAAGAGGCGCGATGGGAGGGGAGGGGGGGGGGGGTGGCAAGAGTTGACGCGTGGGCACCTTGAGAAAAAAGCGGCGGTGTTAAGGTAAAGAACTTCACCGTGCCCGAGCCGGTGGTGGTATCGATTTCGCGGTCAAGCGAAGGAAGTTGGTAAGCGGGCGGCCGGTTCCCCCTGTACGTGTGAGTAATGCAGTGTCGGCCGCCGAGAAGGAGAAAATCTTTGCGTGACCGGCTCGCTGGCCAGCAAATGGCTCGCCTCCACCCTCGCCCCGCTTCGCCGCCCTTTGTCCTACGAGGTACGTCCTACCCCCGAGGACTGCGGCACCAGCAATCTTCGTGCGGCACACCAGCCGTGCCAGCGCGATGCTCGTTCGCCGTCGCGCGGAGAACGCTCCACTCGACTTTCTTCTTTCTACGCGCCTTCTGCCACTGCTCGCCTTCTGCTCGCCTTCTCAATCGATCCGCCACCCCCGCGGATCATCCTTCGTTCTCGTTATCTTCCGCTATCTCCGCCGTGGCTCGCCGTGAATTCGCCGCGTTTCCGCTCGGCCATCGATCACCGGATCGCGGCGCCCGTTGATCTTTGAACGCGCGGCGCAACAAAGTCTACGAAGCTACGACCGGGAGCACAGGTAAGGACACTCGTATATTTCTCCTCTGCGTGCGTTCAACCTTTCGGCCAGCTTTCGGGGCCAGAAGGGGATAGAATCAAAGTGGAAAGTATATGCGTGGTTGTGGTAACACGTGGGGATTTTCACGTCGCTCTCCCTCCCCCTTCCCCCCACCCCCCCGTTGCTGATCGATAGGATTCTTACGCGTGATATCTTGTCGCGCGGATTTACGTAGCCGCAGGCTTTGGAATTTTGTCGAGGCTAGGATTGGTAATCGATCGGAGGCTTCGTTGGGGACGGAGGTGTCTCGATTTCGAGGTTAATGTGGAGAGGGGTGATTAATTGGTAGTTAATCGACGGAGATTCTGTCGGAGGAACGTTGACGAAATGGTGGTTGATGGACAGGATAATTTATACAGTTAATTATAGCGTGCATGTTTCTAGTACTTTTCTTTGACGCTGTTGATAGCTGCTCTTTGCTTCTTTCGATTCATTGAATTTTGTTTAACTTTTAAATGGCGAGGGAGAAGTGTCAATAATATTAGGGGTACTGAAGAAAGGAGAAAATAAAATATTGTGTTCTCTGTTGTTAATAATCAAAGCAAACGGTCGTCATAAAAATCTTGTTACACATTAATTAAAATAAATAGATATTGTCATAGTTTCTTGTTAAATCTCACAATATATTTAAAGGAGTAAACGTCAATAAAATTTAATAAATTAATTTAGTGACAATAGTTTAACTTGTGCCATCTAGTGACAATAATTTAACTTGTTACAACGTAATCTATATCCTAGTGTAAATATATTGACATTTAGTGTGCTTATTGTTAAATTATATTACTGATTAAAACTGTATTAAATAAAATAAAATTTTGTAGATTTATGAATACCTCTAGTAATTTGTACACTTGAAAAGTAAGATAATTTGTAGATTTAGAATTTTTAAATCGTCGCAGAAGTATCATTGATAACTGGAAAGTAGGTTTCTTCAAAGGACAAGGGGAGAAAAAACAAACGAATCGAGCTGCTTCACGCGCGCTTGACGTGTCTGACCAGCGCGGTACACGTTCACTGGGAAATACTCGATGTCACGAGCACAATGGAACGATCGCTGCAAACGCAACATTATAAGATACAAATATACATAACTGTGAGTGCGGATGTTTCATGGAAATTGGAGAATGCAGAAATATATAAAATTCGAAAGTAAATGTATATATATCCATTTCAATATTTATTAAGCGGGATAGAAATATGAAATTGCACGAACAGCAGTCGAATTGTTATCGTTAATAATTTTCTACGTTGTGCAAAGACAAGGAATAATTCTTTTTCAAAGTGTTGATGACAAACTGCGATATAATATGGACCAATTACATATAGCCTTCAGCTCTAGTACATATAAAAGAAAGAGAATCAATATCTTCCACTCATATATACATATATAATGTAATATCACGTTGTATACATATATAATTTGCACGCTACATATATACATATAATAATGAATAATCTACATATACAATAATATGCGCCGCACACGTACGATTTATACCAACAACCGTCTTAAATATATACTCCCGTGATACCGATAAACCATTCAAACGCAACTTTCTGATCCTTGATCAATGTACAAAGGATATTCTCCACAGTATTAACGCGATATAATACCACATCTGCGTTATTGGAATACCAACTTCAGTCCAACTTCCAAAGAAAATACGAAAGAAACTAAACGACGCTGAATATTAACGATTCCGCTTCGCGGAGACAATTTCACCTCGACCTAGATTCTCCGCCTCTGTGGCGAATATCCTTGAAGGATTCAATGGCTGACAGATCGAAAGAAAGACGGCGGTATCGTTCGATCGCGTCACGGTTCATCGATGCCTGTCATTTCCTTCTTAATCGACGCCCCGAAGGCTCCATTATCGCGCGGAATCGATCGAGCAACCCCTATTTTTAATAATACTAACAGCATCGGGGGGCGCGGCCTCCCATTCTCGATTGCAGGGTGCTGGCAGCGGCGAACGGCGTTGGCGAACGTGCACCCGACAGGCTTCTTACGCGCTGGAAGAGGTCTCTGAGTCGTTGCTGCGAGTGCTGCCCAAGCATGAGGTGTCTGGCGTGTCGTACGGACCCCAAGGGACTCACATGGCCCAGAAGTCACGCCAGGACCACGTTGGTGAACAGGAACGAGCAACCTCTGACCAGGGATAACGTGCCTGCCGGCTGCTGGCCTAAATTCAAGAACAGATGCAGGTACGAAGGGTCATCAGGATGTACGATTCTTCAGACAGAGTGTATCGGATTTTTTTCCAGTTAGTATATAGTTTGATTAATTTGAGTAGCCAGGATGATCAGCCAGATGTTTTATATGTAGATTCGAGAATAGATGCAAATACGAGAGCTGATCGAAGAGTTGCCGGGAATGTACGATTGTTCAGAGAGAATAATTTTGGATACGAGTAACTTTTTTGATATTGTAGTTTCGTTAACATAGATTCCTGTCCCTTCGTTTCTCGAACAAAATAAAAATTTTCCGTCGTTTCTGTCTCTATTATGGAATTCATTATTCTTTCGGATGATTGAAGAAAGATTGAATAAGAAGAAAAGTGATGACAATCGCAAAGTTTCTCTTTGTATTTGTGGAAGAACAAAGACGTCCGGAGAGTATGATATTAATGATATTAATTTCTCTTTCTTCGTGTCAGGTGCAAGCGACTCAGGGAAATGAAATGTTGCTCAAAGAGATCGCGGGTCGCGCCAGCCGAGGCCACCGTCTGCTGCCCTCCGGAAAGAAGGTTCGGCGCCATTTGCCGCCGTCTGTTCGACAACTGCAAATGCAAGCGGAACGCCGAAGCGGAACGCGCAAGAAACACACGTGCCAAGCACAGTCTTACCAGCGTAGCACCGCCCCCGTTGTCGGAGGTAATACTCCGAACACTCGAGAAACTAATTTGAAACGATTGAAATCCGAATTTAAAACTCCAAACAGCAAACCTTATTAGCTCAACTTCCGTTCAATCAGAGATCGAACGTTTCAACGAGAGGCATTAAACCGCCGAAATTAAAAGGTTGAAGACATACTATCGAAATACTAACGATTGCTTTTCCTTCCTTTCCATTGAAACGGCGCAGGAACCAAAAGCTAAGATACCGGATGTTCTGGTAGAGCACAATTCCCTAATGCGTGGCGCCATTCCTTGTCTGCCAGTTCCCCTCGCTTGGTTCTGTCTCGTGTGGAACGTTTTACTGCCTGGCTCTGGTAAATAATAAATAGAAAGAAATTCCTCCAACTAGAATCTCGAGGAACGTACTGAATCTGCTGTGACCTATTTTTTTTCAGGCACTGTGTGGAGCGGTATTTTCAACTTGTGCACCGGCCAGCCGAGATTCTCGGCGGTGGCTGGACTAAAGTCGAGACTAGGCGCGTTCGTGGTGAACCTGGTGGTCGGGGTGGGTCAATTATTCACCGTTTTATTCTGCCTGGTTGGGTGGGGCTGGAGCATTTGGTGGGGCGTCACATTGGTCCGTTTAGCCAGTAAGTAATATTAAACCGATCGATCAACTGAAATCAACTGAATCGTTGCGTGGTAGACAAACCGCGAGAATCTCGTGTTCTCTTGGCGAGTCGTATAATCCAACCGGGTGGACAAGTATAATATCCCTGGCGCTTGGAATGAACTCAATCTCATCCCAAGGAGGAAGAGATAAGAGAATATTAAACCTCTGCGGTACATTTAAAAACGCGGCTCATTCAAAGAACGCCGTTTCCCTTCGTAACTTTTCATTTCTTATCAAGGGACGAATTTTTAATTTCAGTTATAATAACAAAGAAGATATTAATTTAATATCGTTTGATTTCTGGCAAATAAAGAAAATAACGCATTAAAAGAATTAAGTTCACATTTTGGACGATTTCGCGAATGGAAGTAGCTAGCTTTTTTATAGGACATAACTATTAACTGTCCACGTACGTGGCCAAGAGCGTGAAGAGGTAATTAGATTATATAGCCAAGAAGAAGCGTGGCTTCTTAGTTTCTCCATCTGTAAATAAACAAATAAACGTGTTTGTTCGAAGGGAAGTACAAGAGGTTCAAGGCTTCCGAGGCAGCCATCAACGATCCGGAAGCGAAGGGGGGAGAACCAGCGTCTCTGCCCCCCGGTGTACCAAGTCAAGCGTTGAGAGGGATGGAACTGACGCGATAATTCCAAGTCCACGGCCGGGATTCCCGCGGCTTACGTTTTTATATTGTTCGTCTTATAGCGATTCTTCACTACGTGCCTTCTCGAAAGCTGCGAGAAAACAGAAAACGAGACTATTTCGCTTGGTGGGCTCTAAACGTACGCTAAAGATCCGAACGTTCCGAAAGTGAATGAAATGGAAAAGTAGAAGAAAGAATTTTCTCCTCGATCCGCCGGTATGGTTGTTCGTACTTGAACAGAGATCGTGGAATCGCATCGTAACTTTGTTTCGCGATAAATGGATTTTGAAAATTGGATTTCGTGGAAAAATTACTCTTCGCGAGGAAAAAAGGGGGGGGGGGCTACGTACGTTTGGCGCAGAAAAACGAAAACGAGAAGAAATGTAGAACGGCGTTGTATTGTGGCTCGCGATCGAGGAACGAAACGAAGTTCTCGGAAATTAATCGCTTTCAGTGAAAGCATACCTATTCGTGGCGTTCTTTCAAAATGTACTCGTTGCGTCGAGCGGAAATTGCTGTTTATTTTCTCGTTCGTCCTTCCTTGCGGTTCGGCGGTTTTTTTAATTTCTTTTCTTCCATTTTATTTCTCCCGTTTGTTGTTTCGTTTGTAATATCTCGAAATGGGAACGTCGATCGAACGTTTCGCGGTAGAAATCAAAGAAGGAACACAAAAGTAAAATGACCTTACTTTTCTTTCTTACTTTCTTTCACTCCTCTCTGTCTTTCTCTCTCTCTCTCTCTCTCTCTCAGTCTCGTTCGAAGGTTATTTTTGTCTCCTACTGTCGATGAAATAAATACGTTTTGAAAAAACGCACTTTATATTTTTACAAGCGCAACACATATTATATGTATACATACATTCATATATTCAACTATCCGACTTATTCAACTTACAACTAAAAGTTCTTGTAAATATGAAAATATATTACTTACATCGGTTTTTAATCTAATCGCTGCTTCTGGAATTGTTCCCTCCTTTATATCCCCTAATCACAGTGTGTAGAGAAGATTCTACCGTACTTTTCTCTCTCTTTTCTTTTAGCATTTTTCGTCTAAAGACAAATAGCATAGAATTTATTACATGATATATCGATTATTGTCGCAATGAATTTCTTTTTCCTTTTTTTCTTTTTTCTTTTTTTTGTGGAAACTATGCAAACTTCTACAAAGTTTATTCAAGAGAAATGTTTAGCAGAAGCATCGAGGGAGTACAATGCGGATCTTATGTTTCGTCTGAAAAATCCGGTGGCGGTGTGTGTTGTGGTCTAATATCCTGTGTGATACAATTTGCATTAACGTTAAATCAGACATGCGATTGATGTCTTTCCCCTCATTTTTCACGGTGTCCAAATTTATTTTTTTCAATCTTTTGGAAAAATTTTTCAGAGCGTCGCGTGCCGCGAGAATTCAAATTTCCAAAATTTCGAGTTACGACAGGCTGCGCGCAACTCTCGAGTCCCGCGTGTCGAAAGAATGGAAATATTGCATCCTTCTTCTTCAAGGACCCTTCTTCTATTAACATAAATTCGATACGAATATTTCCATACGAAGCCACGCGCGCCAACTCGGTATTCCCGGCTCGCAACACCACGGAATCGGGCTGGTTCTTTCGAGTTTCAAGTAGACACAGACAGACCGCGCGACATCGCTGGCGTGCGACAGTGAAACGTGAAAACGGGCGGAAGTTCGGTGGTCGATTTCCGTGCACCAGGGGGGGACAGGAGGGGAACAAGACACACACACACACACACACACACACATACACACACACAGCCCAAGGATGCTCGACTGTCGCGAGAAACGTGCGCATGCTTACGTTGCCGAGGATCTAGCGGATAACTACTAATAAAAGCCCGCGGTAATCGATTGCATGCTCAAGCAGCTCTATTTCAAGCAGCCTGCTATCAAGATCCTGTTATTTTCGTTTTATCGAAGGGCTCAGCCTGCCCTCAGTCTAACCACTTGCAACGTTTCACCGCGCGTTTCGTTATGGTGGTTACACTTTCACGACTCTGTCACCCCTTTGTCAACGTGCAAATGTTTGTCATGTTGATAGGTGGGTCGAATGTTGATGGTCGGATCGACTCGTGGCTTTGGTGTGCTTGGATCTGTTTAACAAAAAAAAAAAAGAAAAGTAAAGTGATCATGTAACGTGTCGAGAGACGATCTGAAATGACTTTCGTCGAGTAATATATTATTTTTCACGGACTTTTCGATACAAGACCTCCTGTTGACGTCGTTGATCATTCGACTTGATTTACTTTCAATTCTGCACTGTCAATGGCATTTAGATAAAATGAAATAAATTACTAACAATTAATATAATAAAATTAATTATTTAATTATATTAATATTGTATTAATATAATTAAATTATTAATATTAAGTAATATAAATCAAAGATAAAATCATCTTTCACGATCATTTGTGTACGTAATCAATTAAGAGTTTAGATTGACCTTAACGATTTTAGTACGCACATATTTGGAAAATAATATCTTTCTGCCAAATGGAGAATGTCGAATTAAAGGGCAGTTGTTTTTTTTAAATTTAATCGACGCGCTTGTGACTCGCATCGAACGCGGACGTCACACGCGATCGTACGGAATTTACGACCTCGCGTTTCGGTGGATAAAGCGTTCGTAAATATTTGTAGACCATTTCCACGAGAGAAACGTACGAGCCGTCTTGTCGTGGCCGTGTTTGCGCAATCGTATTGCACGCGGAAGTTGAAACGCGTTGTCTCCGCTTTGTGCTCGCCGTGCGAGGAACAGTGAACGGAAAAACGAACGCTCGTAAGTTATGTGAGGCGCGTTGGGTTGTATTCCTTTGTCTGCAAACTGGTGGTGATTTTGTGACAAAGATGGGATAACTCAGTGTCGAGGTAAGGTCGAACGAAAATGTCGGGGAGCAATCTGTTTGGATTTCGTTTTGGGGATAATCGCTCGCTTGGTCCGTTTCTCGGTAAGGAATATTTTTTTGAAGGACTCTTGCCGTTTTCATTTTCGGGGCAATCGCGGACAGAAAATGGAAATTGCAGGAACACAGAACTGAAGATCGTATTCGATAACCGACAAGTTAAATAAACATACACGACGATGAAACGCACTCGTTGAACGAAATTTCGCAACGAGAGAATGGCATTTGCACGGACAGTCGAGAATGAATCAAAGAACGACAAACGTGCAATAATTTCTCAGCGAAAATTTACTCGTAAGAAAACACAAGGATCGATAAATATTAGGAAAATTAGGCTGTTTTTATATTTATATTCAGATCAGGCTCGAACTTTAAAATTCAATTTCAACAAGGCATTGCACATGATTTAAAAATATATATTTTTCACTGAGAGAATCGAACCATATTTATCAAAGTGAGATTGCAATGCACGAACTGATCGTTTTAAATTTCTATTATTTTTTAAAATAACACGTTATTGCACGGACGAAAGAAAGAAAGTAGATCTCGATGGAGAATCCGAGATTCAATTCCATTTGTCGACCGTAAAAGATAAAAGAAGGACCAACGGAACAAACAACGGTTGAAAATAAAAATTGAAGAAAAGAAAAAAAAGAAAAAAAACCACTTTCGACGAATCGGTGATGGCGATGGCGACGCGGTGGAACATTCGCAACAACCGGAAGAAGAAAAACAAATGTATTTTTGAGTAGTAAGGGTCTGCATATAATTATGCATGGTATATATGGTGTGGGTGTCAATGAATTGAGTCGCTGACGCTGAATATATTGAGTAGTATATGTTTTAATGATGTGACTCCATTAATATGTCAATATGCACAGGTAAATATTTCTTGTTATTATATAATAGAAGTGTTACAGTGTGTAATGTGATACGATAATAAATTTAATAGTAATCATATTATAATTAAGAACTTAAAATAACTCTAAAGGGTAAACTACATCACTATCGGCTAGCGACTATTTAGCGATAATAATAGCCTACCATGTCTTTTACTAGCGGCGCTCAGTGAGTGTGCTCCTCTTTTCACTATTCCTTTCCTTTTTTTTTTCTTTTTTTGTTTTCTTTTTGTTTTCTTCAACACACCTTTCATTCTCCCTTTCTCTCTTTGTTTTTTCTTTCAATTTCTCTCTTTCTTTCGTTCTCTCCCTTTCTCTCCCACTCTCGCATTCTTCCTCTCTCTCTCTCTTTCTCTACGTGTAATTATTACTCCTCTGTGCTCGATGTTCCTTTCGTACCCATGTCGTCCTCTCTCTCAAATATTTCTTGCTTGTCTCTTTCTGTATGTTTCTCGTTAACTTGTAGTTTGTTTCACTACTACCCTTTCTCTCTCTCTCTCTCTCTCTCTCTCTCTCTCTCTCTCTCTCTCTCTTTTATCATGTCCCTTGCAACCTGTCGCTTCTACAAACATCAACCGATTCATTCCAGCTTGCTTTTCACGTCTCTGTCCACGTTTTTTTTCGTCCGCCTTCCTCTCGCTCGCTCGTGCACTCCTCCGCGTTTCCGGTTCTCAATTTTTCCAGTTCTCGACCTATCTTAACGAGCCCCGCGCGCGCGACTCGAACGAAACGAACAGCGCGCGCGCGGGAGATTCGAAACAACGAGCATCTGATTTAGGAATCGTTCTCTTAAATAGAAATTTTCATTCGAGATTCGTTTGTCCTCGCGTTTCTTGGATGTACAGATCCGACAGACAGAGGGAAGAAGACAAACATGATTGGTTACAGGGTGATTTCAAGACAGCGGAATGCGAATAGCGGTGTCGCTCGCGTTTCGTGAACAGAGAGAGCTCGAAGCAGGCGTCGATTTCTCGCGTGTCTGTGTGTGTGTGTGTGTGTTTTTTTCTTATATCCTTTCTTTCTCTCCTTTTTTTTCTCGGCAATAGACACACGTGTACAAATGTAGTCCCACAGACTTCTATGAAACGCGGATCGGCGTGTGGGGCATCGAAATTCAGTGGATTGGTTCGCGAAACGTCGCACAAAGTATGAATGAATGAATGAATGAATGAATGAATGAATGAGTCAGACTGTCGGTGATCTTTTTTTGTACACATACACATACATAATAATCGTATATAAACATGGATGTGCGTGGATGGTGGGTGGTTGTGCTGTTG